CTTCTCAGCAATATTCAGAAAATTAAATTATGTCTCAGCACATTTATATAAAGTTCTAGAAGAAGTAAAATGAATCAAAGGTGATGGAAATCAGATTAAAATTGCTTGGAGGTAGATTGACTAGGAAGGGGCACAGGGAACTTTCTGGAGTGATGGAAATGCTCTGTATGTTAATAAAGTTGTTGGTTACAATGGGCATTTGTCAAAATTAATCCGTTTGTATTGTTAAGTTCTGTGCATTTATGTAAATTATACTTCAATTTTAGAAAGTTTTAAAAGCTATCTTAACATTTTTCTAGGTTTTTTTTTTTTTTTTTTTTTTGAGACAGAGTCTCACTGTGTCACCAGGCTGGAGTGCAGTGGCGCAATCTTGGCTCACTGCAACCTCCGCCTCCTGGGTTCAAGCGATTCCCCTGCCTCAGCCTCCCCAGTAGCTGGGACCACAGGCGCACACCACCATGCCTGGCTAATTTTTTGTATTTTAGTACAGACAGTGTTTCACATGTTGGCCAGGATGGTCTGGGATTACAGCATGAGCCACTGCGCCTGGCCCTTTTCTAGTGTTTTAAAAATTCCCAAAGCACCTTTCCCTGCCTTTCATAAGTAAGAGAAAGGACCAGTATTACAATTTTCATTTAGTTATTTCTGAAAAAGTTTTGAGCAAAATTTTAGCAACGTTAAGGTGTGGGCCTTTCCTTAGACTTGGATGTGTCACTTTTCTTTTATGGGAAGAATGGTAAAACAGCTCTTGAAGCTGACTTCATTTGTCTATGTGCATCCTCCTAACCCCAGGATTCCCTCAAACCCACCCCTCCAGTGTGCTTCTGATTGGGGTTGGGTATCACATTGGATGAAAAAAAGCTATAGTTGTCCTTAGATGAGTTTTTTTATCTTGCTACTTGTGCCCTTGGGTCTGTTCCCCTTCTCAGTCCAGTTGACAAGTAAAACTTCAGGGGTAATAAATAGGAACTAGTCTGAATAGCCAAGTACTCACAGGCAGTATGCCATCTTTTCAGTCACAGATTTCCTCTTTAGTGCCTTACAAATGTGGTGCAAGATGGGGTGGAGATGGGAGTACTGAAGTTCAACCAGGTGTTTGCCCAATCTCCAACAGGGCTAAGATTTAAAAACTACTTCGTTGGATCCTGAACCCACTTAAATGCTGTTGATTGTAAAGACATGAGATTGGGTCCTCAGATAGAAGTTGTTGAAGTTGTTTTATTCTGTGTTCTCAAACACTACTGGGGGTAAGCTGCTCTGCTTCCAGCTCTGGGCCAAAGGTAAGATTCACTCTTGGTGCACAGTGAAATTATATCTTAGCACATTTATATGAAGTTCTAGAAGAGATCAAACTAATCAGAGGACTCCAGAGCTGGCTGGGTTGGTCATAGAGGGACACAGGTGGGATCTGTTGTCAGCCTGGAGTCAAGGCCTGCAGAAAACTGTGAGTGGGGAAGGGAGAAGATGGGAAGGGAGAAGATGGGAAGGGAGAAGATCTGCCCCACTTTTACTGTTGTCCTTTTGGGGGTGTTTGGGCTCTGTAAGGTCCTTTCTCTTGTTGGAAACTTCTCAAGGATGGAGTCTTTATCTGTTTTGTTCAGCAGTGAATCTGTCCACAGGTACTGGGGCAGTGTAGGATAGGTGCTCACTAAATATTGGTGAAATTGATGGAATTGGGAGGACCATACAGACCTGGGTATGGCAGTGCCTAGTTAAGAACAGTGGTGAATATAGTTAGGATCTTCAGTTCCTTTTGCTCCTCACAGGAAGGAGAAACATTTTTCTGTGGGGAAATCAGGGCTCTATAGGCCGCCATGGAGGATTTTTCCCAGTGATGTCCCTGCCATTCATTCGTTCATTCATTCATTCAGTATGTGAGGCACTGTGCTTTACTCTTAGAATGAGTGAATGAATAAATGAATGAAATCATGTGGCAGTGTCCATGTCCTCATCTTTACACAAGAAGGTGAGCTAGAATATCTCTGAAGAGGGATAGTGTGAGATACCATTTTTCTCCTATCTCCAGCCTCAGTCTTGAGACCAAAACAACTGGCCTGGCTACAGAAGGAAATAGTACTGAACGACTCTCATTGGTACTGGGGCCACCCCCACCACCCTTGTGAAGGGCTCTAGCTCACAGAGCGCTTAGCATCATGCCCATGATGCGCCTGTGATGGGAAGTGTATCCCCAGGCATTGAGCAATGGTTTTATTGTCCGTCCCTCCACTTACCGCATGGTTAATGATAGACCTCTGCCATTTTCCGGTTGGCCACTCCTCTCAGACTATGCTGTGACAGTGATGCAGGCATCTGGGGGTGTGGCAAGGTGAAGATACCCCTATTTTCCCAGCAAGCAGCCTGTTTTTCCTACCCATCAGGAGGGCTTCCCTCAGGGATCTTGGGCTGGAGCCACTTATTACTAGGAATAGGAATGTTTCAGACATCTTCGAACTGAGTGGGTTGGAATTGGGCCAGCTGCCCCGTGCTGTTAGGGATTATGCCATGGACTGCTCATTTGTAGTTCATGCCCTTGGTTTTCCCCTCCTGCCCTGTGACTCCTGGGAGAGAGGTCGTTTTTTGGTTTCTTATTCAGTACCAGCACAAAGGACTCTACTCTACAAATCCTGTGACGATTGATACTGAGACCCGTGGTGCATCTTCCTAGCCATCTAAGCCTATAAAAAGCTCCTTGAAAAAAATAATATGTCAGTTGAGTTGGCATAGAAACATGGAATGATTTCAGTGGAAATGCTGTGAAATGCCACAATTTGGTATCAAATAGTCATTGGGATAGTTGTGCACAGATGCCGTCATCTGGATGCTCTCCCGAAGATTTTGTGATCATGCAAATGTAATTGCCACTCTGCAAGTCTGTATCCCACGAGTTTCTTTATAAATGCTCTTAACATATTGTTCAGGTTATCTCCATTCTACAGGCTCTATCAGCTCCCCCGGCATCTCATACACACCTGTCCCCTGAGTATGGCTGCCATTTCTTCTCTTAAAAGCCTACCTTAATTTTCATTTCTTTTTTCTCAAAGCCTTCCTTTAGCACCCCAGATCTCAGTAAGCTCAACTTTGTGTAACAAGTTTGATGTGTGCTAAGTCATGGTCTTTTCTCATCTATTTACCTTGCATTGCTAATATTTAGTCACACCTTTCTATCTTGGTAGAGTATTAGCTTCTTGAGGAAAATTAAGGACATGTCCTATACAGTTTTGTGTTCTCCAGCCCCTGGTGAAGATTCATAATGCATATATACCTCTAACACAGATTGAGATGCTACCTAAAGATGACACCTGTCAAGTGTGTTAATTATTCCCATTATGCAGATGGGAATAAAATGGGGTTCATTTTGGTAGGACAAATTTGAGTAAGGTCACACAACTGCTAATTTTTGGATAGAGAAAGTTTGAACTGGACTTTTGACTCAGATTTTCCTTTTCTTTTTTGTTTACATTATTTTAGCTTTTAAATTGTATTTATTAATTTGGATTGGTAATACAGGTGTTCCTCAACTTACAATGGGATTATGTCCCAATAAACCCTTCATAAGTTGAAAATGTCATTAAGTTGAAAATGTACTAATATATCTAACCTACCAAACAGCATAGCTTAGCCTAGCCTACCTTAAATGTGCTCACAACACTTCCATTAGTCTATAGTTGGGCAAAATCATTTGGCAGCAGCATATTGAAGAGTGTCGGTTGTTTACCCTCATGATCACATGACTGACTGGGAGCTGAGGTTCGCTGCCCCCACCTAGCATTATAGAAGTATTGTACTACCTATTGCTTGTCCAGGAAAAGATCAAAATTCAAAATTTGAAGTATGGTTTCTACTGAATGCATATCACTTTTGTACCATCATAAAGTCAAAAATCCTAAGTTAACCTCTTTTAAGTTGGGGACTGTCTGTATGTGCACATGGTAAAACAATTCCAGAGGTTCTATTATACCACACCATACTGCTGGTAACTTAATACTTGCTTGTTTTCAAACTGCCCTTATTTTCCTCCGAGAAGCCAGTTTGCTATTCTGACTTCTGCTGTTCTACTAGTGGCTCTATCACAAAATCCAGGGATAATTTTTTTACCCTGCTATCACCCATCCCTGCTAGTTGATCACCCAAGGCCAGCTGAGACCTCAAAGGCCCTCAAATTCAAATCTGCCTCACCCATTCTCACTGTTCCCCCAATTCAGCCTTCACTCCCTACCCGTATATCACAGTCTCACTGCCCTTCCTACCTCCTTACCCACTTCTGGTTCACTTAGGGTAACTTAGAGCCCTTCAGAAACATACAGGAAGCTCTTATACTTTCTGATTGGGTTCTTAGCCTACAGATAGATTCTTAACTATATTTTTTAGTCTGTCTAGTTAGTTTGGTAGTCTGAGGAAACCAGTCTCAGTTTTTAGATAATGGCTTTAAACGCACAAAATAAAACACATAGGATTGTAAAGGGGACAATATTGTAATATTGAAATAGTTATCAAATTATTTTAAAACTAAATTTTGATATAGTAATCTATGGGTATCCTTATTAATAGACTAAATAGTAAAAGTCTCCCAGTAGGTGTAATAACTATGACCATTTTGAAGCAGCAGTGAGCACAAATGATATTTTGAGATACCCACAGTGTCTATGATATAACATGAAAATTTCTGTAGTTTGTTTGGTGACGAGTCACAGGTCCTTCTAATATTGATGTTTTGCCTACATTCATAATCAAAGCAGATGCCAAATTTCAGTTAGAGGCTAATGAAATTAAGTATTAATTTTGTCTGTTTGCATTTATGGACAGCAGGTAAACACCTCCTTCTTTAGCCTGAATCTCAAGGCTCCATGTGATCTGCTTTCTTGTTCCCTGTTAACTTTAAAGCCGTCCAGTTTCCCTGCATGAGCTCTGCATGCTATACCATACACATGGGAGGCAAAATTGGAAACCACCATGTCTAACCTTACCCTTGCATCTCTGCTCTTTTGTTTATATCTCTGCAGGTAGAGGAAGGATGGTGGGAAGGTGTTCTCAATGGGAAGACTGGAATGTTTCCTTCCAACTTCATCAAGGAATTGTCAGGGGAGTCGGATGAGCTTGGCATTTCCCAGGATGAGCAGCTGTCCAAGTCAAGTAAGGAAGTCCACCCTACCAAGCAGGAGAGGGGCGGGGGACTGGCAGGCTGTGCTCCAGCCTCCCTTCTGTTCTGTATCCTATACCAAGAGGCCATGGTAAACATTCATGAGTATTTTTTTGGTTGTACTACCTTAACCCATTGTGATTTAGGAAGTTGATCACTGTAAAGGTGTGACCTGCAGCCACACATTGTGTATGTCTCTGGATAGGTAACTGTCAGCCTTCATGCCCTGGTAATAACTGTCTCATGGGTGGCCCACATTGCTGTGTCTTTATATACTTCTAGAGTGTTGCTTACTATAAGTTCCTAATTATTTTAAAAATGAACCAAATGGTATTGTCAGTATTTCTCAGTAACCCTTGAGGGACTTGGAGAAAAATTATCAAAAAAAGAAAAATCACTGGTAGTAAGAAGTGAAGTGCTATGACAAGATGAGTGCATGTCATTCCCCTTAAAAGTAAGTTAAGACAACTGAGAGTCCAGATCCCACTTTGGATGTGAGCATGTGTGTCCTTCTGCGATGGTGACAATGAACTTCAGGTCTTTCTCCAGGGCCTGAAGGTATCCCTCCAGCTTCTCTGCTGCCCTTTCCAGCTCATGGAGCAAAAGGTCAGGACTGGGAAACTTCGTTCTCCCAGTCACTAACCCAACTTCCCCCATGGGCATCTTTGTTTCTCTTGTGCCGTCTTGTGCCAAGGTCATGGGGATAAATGTTGTAGGAGGTTCAACTGTGCAGCACTACCTGGGAGTGCAGCATTTTCCTTTCTGACAAGAGGAGGGCAGCTTAGCCTGCCCAAATAATTCTTAAATGTCTTCCTTTTCCATTTGGAAAAACCTGACTTGAGTGGTGTTCTCATGTTAGTTTGTGTCTCTTTTATTTAACCAGTGGTATGATTAGTCAAATGTCTGATTTGGAGGTAACACCATTTCCAGAGAAGTGCTCAGGTGATCTCCTTCGCTTGGTGTCTCAGTAGCTCTGGATGATGTAGCCTGACATACCCAGAAACAGCAGCACTGGCTGGTTAACCATTGGCTTCAGCAGTACCCCTTTCCTACACTGCCAAAGCCTGGGACCCTCCTACCCCTGAACCCCATTTCATCCTAGAGTCTATGGTAGAAAGGACTGGAAGGTGGTGGGGGAAAAGCAAAGTATCTTGGAGCTCCTGTTGCCTTCTCTGCGTTGGGGTAGGGGGATTCTCTATTAACATGGCCCAGCTGATGAGTACTACTGGGAGGGGAGAAGGTATCCTTGATTCCACATTAGTAAAATCCATATTAGAATTCTAGCTGCCCTAGTGTCTTTTTTTGTACTCTGGAATAACTATTGTACCTGATAATTAGGTCCTATAATAACAATACGCTACGTCAGGGACATGGTGGATTAAATGGGATTTTTTAGAGGGAGGACCAAATCGGGTTACTATAACATTATTTCCCTGAATAAATTCATTATAAGTTCCAATAGCAATAATGTGCATAAACCACCTTCCTCTGTGGCAGACCCATAATAAATGGTAGCTCTCATTGTCAGTCAAGTTAACTGTTGAAACATAACCATTTAGTATCAGTTGCTTGAAGGCTGCTTGCATACTGATCAATACCATGTTCGCTGAAGCATTATGACTACATTTGGAAATTACTTGGGAGTTCCTCTACTGATGCAAAGGAGGAGATCTGTGGAGGTATTAGACAACCTCTTTGGAAAAGTCTTGACATCTTGGTATCCTGCCATCTTAGCTGTGCTCTCAGAGCTGGAAGATCAGAGGAGTAATACCTCTTGTATCTTTGGAACTACTGAAATTAAATTGACTTCTCTCATTCCAAGTCAGTAATATGGACAGCTCATCCTGCCTGACCCCTCAGCTAAAGGGATTTGGTGCTGGAATTCCTGGTACAGAGGATTAGGAGGTTGGGTGGACTGGTCTTTCTATTTAGCATTATGTCGTCACCTACTCAGAAGGGGCATTTTCTCTTCTAGAGACTATTCCCCACACACACTTACTCTATTAAAAGCCTTCCGTTTCAAGACCAGGAGAGCCCAGTACTTTCAGCAGCCATATTTAGTTGCCATTGTTGAGGGGATTTTGAGTCCTGTGGAGAGACATGTCTCCTAATAAGGGTGGCTGCTTCTGATAAAGGATACATGGCTTTTGTAATCTTTCTGTATGTACAGTTAAGGAAAAGAGGGCCCATCTCTCCATCCATCTGTCCATATTCATCTATCTGTCCATCCTTCTTTCTCTCCTTCCTCTTTCTTCCTTCTTTTCTTCATTCAATCTTTATTGACACCCTGTTGTTGCTAAAACACTATCCAAGGCACTGGTGATATACAGAGACAACTCAGACAGGGTCCCTGCCTTCAGTAAGCTCACACTACAGAAAGAGGACATGGAAACCCAAGTTCAGCAAAGTGTCCCAGGTGCTCTGCTAGTAAGCGGATCTGAAGAAGAGTGGGGGCGCAAAGGCAGAGAGGCCAGCCCCATGGGGATGTGGGGCTTCATAAAAGAGCAAATGTCAGAATAATGTATAGCTTGCTAAATTGAAGTAATTCCCTGAGAGAAAGAAATAGTATTGGTGTTCTGACAGAATTTCCAGTAGCAGGCCAGGCATGGTGGCTCATGCCTATAGTCACAGCACTTTGGGAGGCCAAGGTGGGTAGATAGCTTGAGCCCTGGCCATCATGGTGAAACCCTGTCTCTACTAAAAAAAATTAAAAATTAAAAAAACAAAAAAAATAAAAATTAGCCTCATGTGCCTGGTATGCACCTGTAATCCCAGCTACTCAGGAGGCTGAGGCACAAGAAGTTCCTGAACCTTGGAGGCAGAGGTTGCAGTGAGCCACAATCACACCACTATACTCCAGCCTGCGCCACAAAGTAAGACTTGTTTCAAAATATACATATATATATATATATATATATATATATATATATATATCCAGTAGCCATTTACACCCTGAATTTGCTTCAGTGTGTAACTATGTTAAAATTTCTATAATTGGATCAGATCACATACAGAAATTATATGTACTGGTAGGATTTTTCTAAGTAGAGGCTTTGGTTTTAAAAGGAATCTGCTTATTCTCCACTCCCAGATAATGGTGCTAGTAGTTTTGATGTGCTTTACTTAAAAAAAAATATTTTGTTTTGAAATGTAGGTTCACAGGAAGTTACAAAAATAAATATAAAACTGTACAGAGAAATCCCTTGTATCCTTCACCCAGTTTCCCCCAGTGATAACATCTTGTTGTAATTATGGTACATGCATATTTACTTTTGTCATAAAACTGTAAAAATCAAAATGTGGTCCATATACAAAAGACATCTAGCTTTTTACTCTGGTATGAGCTAAGATGTACTTAATCTGGGTCTTTGTTAGACCAGCCTATCAATACTCTTCACAAATAACAGTTCGTTTTTCACAGAGATTGCTTAATTAATACACAGATCTGGGAGTAAGTTAAATTCCTAATGTTTGTGCCATATTCCTAATTTTTTGAGATATAGTGACATCATTTGCAAATCCTCTTAATTTAAATGCTACCACACATTAGGATAAGGTTTTTCTAAGAATGATAAAATCTGTATCTGAGTATGAATCATGTGTACAGTGAAAGCACATATATCTCTTCTTTTCTGACATACACACAAACACCCCTACTTCTGTATGTGTACCTTTATTTGGTATTTGTATTCCCCACATTTCTACTTCCAGAAAATATTTCAAGTAGTTATTTATTCTTTTTTTTTTTTTTTTTTGAGACGTAGTCTTGCACTGTGGCCCGGGTTGGAGTGCAGTGGTGCGATCTTGGCTCACTGCAACCTCCGCCTCCCAGGTTCAAGCAATTCCCTTGCCTCAGCCTCCCAAGTAGCTGGGATTACAGGTGCCCACCACCACACCCGGCTAATTTTTTTGTATTTTTAGTATAGACGGGGTTTCATTCACTGTGTTGGCCAGGCTGGTCTCTAATGAAGTAGTTATTGAGTTGAATTTTGTGTACCAATGGATGAATGTGATAGAAGAAACATTGGTATTATATTTTTCGGGGAGTATGCCAAGACTGCTTGATACATGGTAGGTGTCTAATAAATGCTTTGCCTTTTACTATAAGGAAACATTTTTATTTTTGAATGACAAGTGAAAAATCGTTTGAACTTGCTTTTCTCTTATTCTGATGTATTTTTACATATGGTAGTTGGTTGTAAAAGTCTCTAAACTTTCCTAGATCTTTGTTTACAGTAACGTAGTCTATCAAGGAAAGAATTGCAGTGATTGTATTGGTGGATATTTTATCCATTTTATCTCAGAAAGGAAAATCTATGGTTATGTAGTAGCGGAAACTTCTCACTGCATATTTAAATTTGAAAACATATTTACCATTTACAGAACTTATAAAACCTTAAAGGTAGTTTTCAAAAAAGATTCTTATAAACTTTTTACTGTTGAAAATTTCTAGCATATGCAAAAATAAGAATAGTCTAATGAACCCCTGTGTACCTATCACTTAGCTTCAGCAATTATCAACCTTTGTCCAATTTGTTAGAATTATAACCCTCCACACGCTTTGTCCATATTATCTTGAAGGCAAACCCCAGATATTATATAATTTAATTCATAAATATTGTAACATGCATCAGTAAAAGAGTGTCTAAAAATACCATTTATCTCACACACATAAAATTATGGCAATTCCTTAGAATTATGAAACACGTGGTCACTGTTCACTTTCCCCTAAAGTCTTCTTTTTGAATTTATTCGAATCTGTATCCAGATAAAGTACATAAATTGCAGTTAGTCACTATGTCTCAAATCTCTTTGAATCTGTAGATTCCCCTTCATATCTCCTTTTTTTCTTGTAATTTTTTTTGCTAAGGAAACTGAACCCCTTTGTCCATTAGTTTCTCACAGTGTGGCTTTTGCCAATTTCATCTCTGCTGTATCATTTAATCTGTATTCCTATAAATTGATCATTAGATTTAGGGACTTGATTAGATTCAGGTTTGCTATACAGATAGCAAACCTGCTGCCTGGATGGTAATGGATAATCCACTTGGAGGCTCATAATGTCTGGCTGTCCTACTTTTTGAATGTTAGCAGCCATTGGTAAATGTCCCCCAAACTGAGTTCCTCATTAGGACTTGCAAAGTGGTTTCAACCAGAAGTTTTAAAATAATAATAAAATGGGCTCCCATGTAAGAGATCAATAGTCCAAAAAAGTGTTTAGTAAATTAGATTTTTAAAAATCAAGAGCCAAGTGGTTGTGCTGATAGTGTAGGCAGAATCTTACGATGTTAAGGTGGAAAGGAATTTAGATATAGTTTAACCCAGTGTCAGCTGACAACACTGAAGCCCAGTGAAATTAAGTCCCAGGCTTCTGAGTAATCGGAAGAAAATGATATGTAAGCCTTCTACACACACTCTGGTGCTGCCTGCATTGCACTAATAGTTCACTTTTTCACAGGGCATCTGACAAATTTCAAGCCTGAGTACAGTTTAGCGTATTTCTTCTTATTGTCACAGATCATGATTAGTTAATTGCTTTCAGTTACAATTTCGTACATGCTACTGTTGACTAAATGTGCAGTGGCAAAGAAATCCAGATATGACTGTTATCCAACTTCAATTTTATATGTATTTTGCCTTACATTTAAGAAATAAATGTGTCTTTTCTGTTTTTCACATCCTTTGACATTATTTGCTTTCAAATAATGGTTGTAAAACTAAAAGTATCCCTGTTTTTTAATTTTATAGCTACACAAACATTTTCAGTTATTTCCCACAATCTTCAGAGGAAGAAAGTTTGCATTTTCTTTGTGTACCTATTAATAACCATGAGTTTTCTGCTGGTATTGAAAAAAAAAAAAAGAAAAAATTAGCTAGGTATGGTGGCATGTGCCTGTGGTTTAAGCAGGAGGATTGCTTAAACCTGGGAGGTCAAGGCTGCAGTGAACTATGATCGTGCCATTGCTCTCGAGCCTGGGCAACAGAGTAAGACCCTACCTCAAAAAAAGAGAAAAAAGATGGCTTTGAAAAACATTTAGCAAACTACTGCCGTGATACAGAAATAATTGTGTTTCATTAGCTATAAGAAATGGATTGCTCAGCGTCCCTTGCCTATAAAAATGAAAGCCAGTATGACAAATCTCACTCTGTGGCATCATTAGACTTTTTTTCTTTTTAATATTAGATGGTATTGTTTGGGGTATGATGTTCTATTAGCAATGAAGAACAATGAGCAAATTGATGTGAAAGTTTCAGGCAAAATTAGATGCTAGCATAAGTATATGGTTTTGTGTGTAAATTTAAAAATTCTTCCCTTTTATAGTGTTTGCTGCCTTCAAGTACTAATACTTAACAGTGACAGTACACCATTTCCCCCAGTAAGATCAATATCACTCATATTCATAACCTTTCCAATTGGCTGTCTTTTTCCTTCTTCACATAGGACACCCAGCCCCAGCCCAGGCTGCATCTCAAATTGCCTTGCTTCTAGTGCAGAGAGACTTTACAGAAAGGCTTTACCATTCAGAGACATCAGAGGTCTACTCTGGCTTGGTCTTGGGGAAGAACACATGGAAGTTCTAGTGTACTTGGAGGAACATTATCAAAACACTGCCTTTTGAAAAATCTTACACTTCCTTGTTTTCTGACACTTGAGAGGACTGCTGCTGTTAACTTTTGGAGGACCAGGCTCACAAAACAGCTGTGTTCTGAGGAGTAATGTTGACTTAATGACTGAAATTAAGCAGAATAAAAATTTGCCCAAATAAAAACTAACCACTGTTACTTGCTCCACTTTTGTCGTTGAAGTCCTTTAAGTGTAACAAGAACATTTGAAACTGTTATGTCTTCAGATTATTCTTACACAGCCACTGATTTGAATGCCTGTTTTTGCTTTAATTGGATGGAGTGCATCTGTTGAAAAGGGCACATTTCAAAACAAGGATGTACCACCATGGCTGTAGGACACGGAAATTAGAAATACCTGATTCCATTTAAGTCATTGGTCTGATCATTCACAATTTCTTTCCTATATGAGGAGTGCCAAGGCCCAGAAACTGACAGTGTGGTTTCTCTTGGGTTTCCCATTTTCACATGGAATGTTTCTAAGAAGTGAGACAAGTTGTTCTCTCCCTTCACTTAGTGTTACTCTCTGCTTCTCTGTAAATGTAGCCTAGCTTTTTCATCCTCCAGACTTATTAGGAAGCTGCATGACTGGCCTCCAGTATGAATATTTAATTAACAAGCCATAATAGAATTTATTCTCAGATAATTTAAAGTACTATGTTTATTAATTGAGTTTGCCTTTAGCAAATCATTTTGCCTGTTGGTGATACTCTCTGTAGGCCTTTGTGGGTGGGCGGGGTGTGGGTGGATGGGTGTGGGAGGGTGGGTTGGAGTACACTCAAACCAGGGCAGTGTGTGTGTATTCTGTGTAGTTGCTCATGGTTCCAGAGATATTTGGACTTTAGCCATGTGTTCAGTCTTATGCTATTGGTAATCTCTGCTTGTAACAACAAAAAAAGATAATTTGATACTTGACGCTGGGTGAGTCCTATGTCCTCATGCTTAAGTACAGTTTAATGACTGACACAGCAGAATCCCAATTAAGATACTTTGAGAAATAGGATTTTCTGGTATCCTTCGTGCTAAGCAGGAAACCCCGTATGTTCATATGGATGCCACTGTTGGTTTCAAACCTCAGTGGTAAAACACCTCTCGCCAGTATATTAATACATTTTCTTGCTTAAAGGTACTGAGGGTGACATATTTTTTTTTTTTAATACAGAGTCTTGCTCTGTTGCCTGGCTGGAGTGCAGTGGTGCGATCTTGGCTCACTGCAACCTCTGCCACCAAGGTTCAAGCGATTCTCTTGCCTCAGCCTCCCAAGTAGCTGGGACTACAGGTGCAAGCCACCATGCCCAGCTAAGTTTTGTATTTTTAGTAGAGATAGGGTTTCACCATGTTGGCCAGGATGGTCTCGATCTCTTGACCTCGTGATCTGCCCACCTTGGCCTCCCAAAGTGCTGGGATTACAGACATGAGCCACTGTGCCCAGCTGACAGATCTTTTAAAGAGAATTCTGTGCCTTGTTTAGATTCTTGGGAGCATGAATATTCATTTTTATCATATAGGTCTCTAGGGGTAGAAGATAAAGGATAATGGGTCTAAATCTGTATTATGCATAGGTTGTACTCTCCAAAGAGAAGATTGTGCTGTACGATTGAGTTAATTAAGGAGTCCAGTTGATTGGATTCCCTCTGGTTAATTGAAGTTTTCCCATTCTTTAAAGTTACAATGTTTGAAATGGCTTCCAGGTTTAAACTGGGCACAGTGTACATGCCAGTCATTTACAGAGGCAAGCCCCAATTTCTGGGTGCTCATGCCATCCTGGTTGCATGGGGACTTTGGGCTCATTCTGTAACATTCTTAAATCCTACCTAATGGTCTCTGCTTAATTTTGTGGATGAAGCTCTTGCAGTGGATTCATTGAAGGCAAGTTGAGTTAAAGACTCTTCCTCTTCCTTCTTTTGCCATCATTTGCTCCCTCCTCCCCCCTCTCTTGTTTTTCTCTCCCCTTCTCTTCTCTCATTCACTGTCAGGAAAGACTACCTTTGAAGGGACAATTCTGTACCGAGCTGCACCGGGAAAGACGGAGGGCCACAGACGCTATTACAGTGAGTGACCTTAACAGCAGAAGGCATTTGTAAAGATAAGCTCTGGATACTTGTGTTTTTTTATGCAGCTGCCCTTTCCTGAGCTGCTCATGCTTATGCCAAGTGTATGTGTGAATATCTGATCCAAGGACATGGACTTATTTGTCTAAGATAAGTGCCATCTCCTTGGCTTGTGCTAAGGAGCATTCCCAGCACCAGCCCCTGGCGCTTTTGTTTGCTTTGTGCCTCTATTATGTACGTGATATGTGTGCATGAACCATACGTGCAGACAAAGGAGCAATAGCATTTGTCATGGCATATGTATTTGTACCAGTATCTCTGGGCTTCTGGGGTGGTGTAAGATGGCTTCCTGCAGAGATATCAACCTCTCATGGTTATTGCTTTTTCTAAGTGGGTCACTGAAAACCAATAAACCATTTTGTCATTGTGTGGTTCAAAGAAGTAAGAATTTGGCATGAAAATCCATGCCAGAAATGGCGTTCTGGTTTGCTCACTCAGCCAGTCACCACATGGCAGACTTTTTTTTTAGCAGGACCAATGTGTAGCCTTTTGTGTTGTGAAATAAGGCTGCAAAAAGTTGAAGGGAAGGAGATGAATGAGATGCCCTTAGAATGGTTCTTGCCACACAGTAAGCTCTATCCATGTAAGTGTTAAATTAAAAATCGATAAAAATAGCTCATGGATCTCAGCTGATCAATGCTGGAAGACTGGGTACATTCCAGAAAAGTGGACAGTTAAAGGACTATCAGAAACAGAATTGAGGAGGCTTTGTTCTTTTTTTCCCACCTTGAAAGAAAGCATCCACCTTAGTTTCCATATACACATATGCGTACATACATATATGCATGGATATGATGAGAGAGAAGATTCAGACATGAACACCAGAGCCATGCTTCACAAACTGGGGTCAAATTTATTTTTCTTGCCACTCCACCACGGGAAGATGCATGGCCCTACTACACATGACCTCACTACACATGCAGTGTGCCACCTGTGCCTCAATGTGGGAGTTTGACAGCACCTAATGTGCCCTGTTCATTTAGATGACTCCACCACCAGCCATATGTCTGAAAGTTATACCAGTGCACACTGTTAAAACACTAAAGCATTGCTCCAGATACACACTTTCTGTACTTCTCTCACCACTGCCTACCTGTAATGAGCCCTTCATGAATTTGCCCCCATCCACAGTCCACACTCTGGGTTGTACCACCCAAGAGTGTCACCTGACATTCTAGACATGACATTGGGGATATTTTATGGGATAACATGTATGATGGGCACGAGTCCCTAAAAGTTGGAGCACCAAATGAACATGAAAATGAAAAGTCACCTTTCTTTTCTTCTAAAGGGAAGGAACTAGATTTTGAATTATTTCACCAACACAGATAGTTAGATGTTTAATTTATACACCTTAAAGTGATAGAACCAGCCTGTCAGAAGTCCTGGAAGAAAAATCTGTGTGTTTCCTTCCCGGGCCATGCTTGTATGGTTGAATGACTGTGCAGCCTCTCCCTACGTAACGTCGAGTATTTCTTACGATGATTAGTATAAACTTATTAAGATGAGCCTGGCAGACAGCAAATCCCAAAAACCAGAAGCTCAGTGAAATGAGGATGGCATTAGCTGAAAATATTATGGTTCTAGCTAATGATGAATGATAGAAGAACCTTTCAAATTCTTCTCTTTGAAGAACTAAAATACACTTGCCCTAATCTGTCTGCCCTGCTGCCTTCTGGTGGTGATGGGGGAAGTGTGCTGAGGAAGCAGGGTGGTGATGGTTTCCTTCCACTGATTGTTTCTTTATTTCACCCTCAAATGGCTCTTTCCAAGCCAGAGAGGAATATACAAGCCATTTATCACATAGAATCCATATGCAAAATGAGAACATGTTAAGGGGGAAATGACACAATATTTAGACTCCAAAATTATACTCCAGCAGGGATATTTGCAAAAACAATGAACAGATAAACACACGAATGGAGAGCTAATTGGGGGAGGTTTCTTGATGTTTACACACTCTAATCCTGTCCTGTGAATTGCGGCTGACCCCATTGTTGTGGGCTGTTTCTCATTCAGTCCTGTGTTCTTGCTCACAAATGCTGGTTTTCAGTTAATTAAAATGTACACCAGGGATCTTCCTCCTCCCCGACCCTTTTGGCTTAAAAATACCATTTTATGGAAAACAGCAGCAACAACAAAACTATTGTTTTAAGGATTTGATTTTGAAACGTGTTAGCAGTTTATAATGACCTTTCTACATTTTGTCTGTTTTCATTTAACAGTTTCTTCCTGCACTGAGACTTCCTTATTTGAATGGCTTCAACATTTTATGAGATTTTATGTGAGCAAGTATTTGGTGTATCATTCTTATGGACTAGGAGGTCACCTTACCTGTAGGAAGATAATGCACAATTGACTAATAGATAACAACATTTGATGGCGTATTTTCATTTCAAGGGCATGGTTATGATCAGGAGATGTAGTAAATGTTCAGGAGCTATTCTACACATCTAGAAGCTTTCAGAGATGGGTTAATGGCAGAGTTTAGTATTCCATAAAATATTCTTTGAATCCTCCCCTTTGATGGCATAATTGATATGCTGACCATCAAAGAAAGAAAGTACACCCAGAAATTAACTAGATACAAATAGGCTCTTCCTTTTAGGAACATGACTGTGGGCAGAGCCTGGGGGAAAAAGAATCTGGGGAGGTAAGTGTCCATGTTGTCTTGCTGATAACTATTTTACGACTCTAAACACGTGCCACAAAAGGTCCAGGGAAGAGTGTCATGTCCCCATTGTTCTTCTTGGAAAGGGATTCAGCTTTGGGAAAACAATGGTGTTTAAGGGAGAGAAGAAGGGCTGTAGGTTTGGGGGATGCTGGCCTCTGGGAGGGCGGCTTCCTTTCCGTCTTTAACAAATGATCATCTTGCTGGCGAAACCGTCTTAATGTCAAGTTTGGTTTAATGCTTTCCTAGAGAAACATGTCTGCATGCATTTATTCCTTGTGAAGCCATCCAAAAAGATTTAATTCTTTGGCAGTTATAATTTTGTGTGGTTTCTTTAATTGCTAATTTGTTTAAATGGCTTTTAGCTTTAGTTTCCCTTTAGGAAATGTTCCTTTCATTGCTAATTGCTAATTGACATGAGTCATAGAGATTGGAGGTACAGTATGTGGTACTGACTGGGTGGGGAGGCAACGAGGTGGTTGGGAAGGGTTATTATTGCACAGGCTATGGTAAAACAAATTTGGATCGAAACCAGGCTCCCAGCTAAAGAGGGGTGAAATTGCACATGTACAAAGATATTTGCTTAGAATTAGATTTTCTGAAAAGTTGTTTTGATTCACTTCTTAAAAGTTAGGGGTAGGGAAATCAAACAAAACTCAGAGCCGGTCAAATTACTCAACACACTGAATACAAAAGCCTAGTGCAAGTTATCCTGTGCCCAGTAACACTTATAGAGATGGTTCTTGGCTGGTTGTGAAGTTCTTCAGGGCTCTGACTGATTTCTGAGCTCTCTCTCCCCATCCCTACTCTTGACAGGTTTAAGGGAAACCACAGGCTCTGAGAGTGATGGGGGTGACTCAAGCAGCACCAAGTCTGAAGGTGCCAACGGGACAGTGGCAACTGCAGCAATCCAGCCCAAGAAAGTTAAAGGAGTGGGCTTTGGAGACATTTTCAAAGACAAGCCAATCAAACTAAGACCAAGATCAATTGAAGTAGAAAATGACTTTCTGCCGGTGGAAAAGGTATGTTTGACAGTTTTTGTTTGATTTCAACATGATGTAAAATATCCAAAAGTATGTCATGGGGTTTGGTTCCGGAAGCTTCCAGTTTCTTTTTTAGGGTTTCCATGTCCTCAGGTACTAGCTGTTTGTCCTGTCTCCTTTTTCAGCTCTCCCTCTATGTGGGAACAACTTCCCTCAAATGGCCCATGCTCTAGTTTGCTGCTTCCTTTCTTACTGATCTCTCTAAGGAATGCTTCTCAGGATGACTTTTGAAATAGACCAGCACTTCTCTATCTGCTTTCCAGAAAAAAACCTTCATTCCTGGACTCACCTAAGTGTATGACCCTCACACTTTTCAGACACTGGCCAGTCCCTCTCCTCTTCTTGTACATTTCTCTAGTGCTTTGTACTTGGGTGTGCTCACTGTGAAGGAATTGTGCACCTTTTCTCTAAGAGTAAGGTGGAGACAATTTCAGACTGTTGAAAGGAATTCTCCTGTGTGAATGATGGAGATGGCTTGTGCTGTGACTCCCTGGGTTGTTCCCTTCAGGAAGCTAGCTGTTTCCTTCTGCCTCTGGTTCTGGGCTACTGAGAGGCAGGCACCATATTGCCGCTAAGTACGCGGTTACCACAGCAACACACCCAGAGCCCTTGAGCTTGTGGCTGCGGATGACGGATGACGTGTACTGTGGTATACTTCTAAGCACGGTAGCTTTGCTTAGGAGTTGATAAATACCGTGGAATTTTCCAAATTATAATAAGCTACACTCGTGCTGTGCTTAAGGAATTTTTGTTAATTCGATTTAGTGCTGAAATTTTTGCTTTGACAAGTTTGTGCCAGCAGGTTTGGGGTATGAGGTATTGGCAACCTCTCTAATGCAGGTTATGGGTGGCTCTTAAGTGTTTTTTTGGGGGGGGGGTGGGATAACATTTTAAAGATTGCATCATCTTCTGCAGCTATAGGACTTCCACCCCTCCACTGGCCCTCAGCAACCTTGCCCAGTGTCATCATGCATTAGAAACAGAATCTGAAAAGGAAACTTTTCAAACACTGAATCCCTCTAGAGATGAGTCAGGCAGAAGGGGCAGATACCTAGATATTAAAAACTGTTTCATTTAAACTCTTTTTTTTTTCAATGTTTAAGTTTCTTTGAGCCAGCATTGTTCCTTTCAGCAATCAGTATATGATATATTTTTTAAGATCTGAAAACTATCTAGTGTCCCAGCTCTTGAGCTCACTGTGTTTCACATGGTTACATTCAGATTCCTGTAAACATTTACCAAAGAGCAAGTCCCCGTCTTGGAAAGGAACAGTGGGTGTAGTTTTTCTTCATTTTATTCAAGTGATTGAAGTGAAAATGACCATTGACTCAGTCAGCAAACCGTTCGTTCCTTTTGTTTGTTTTATGATTCTTGGCCTTTTTCTTCTTCCTGTAGGAGGACTGTATGTGTGTGTGTTTCTCTTATTATTGCTATTAATATTTGTTTTAGCTGCCAATAATAAATTGAGTTACTGTTGATAGCAATGTCACTGTCAAATATAATACTTTCAGGTATTTATCTCAGCACATTTCTTTCCTGAGCCTCAGAGCTGTATGTCCAACTGCCTGCTTACTTCAATATCTCCACTTGAAGATCTTAAATTCATATCCGTTTGCCCAAACCCGAACTCATCATCCCCCTCCAACTACTCTACTCACAGTTTTTTCATCTCAGTTGAAGGCAGCACCATCTCCCACTCCTGTTGCTCAGAAAAGAAACCCTTGGGTCGTCCCTCTTTCTCTAAGCTCTGCCTCCTAAATATGTCCACCATCCACCTACGTCTCATCACCTCCAGTGCTCCTTACTAGGGCTTTCTGCCTCTCCCCTTCCCCCTACAGTTTAGTTTCATGAGCGAAGCCAAGGAGAATGTTTGAAAACCCAAGTCGCATCATGCTACTCATCTGCTCACACCCCTGCCGTTGCTTTCCTGAGAACAAAGGTGGGACCCAGCCCTCCTAACTGCTGGGACTTCCTTCCACACTGCTCTCCCTTCACTTTCTTTGTTCTGGGTCCAACATTGTGGATATTGGATTAGGGATGTTCAACACACATGCATGCACACACATATATATATATATCTGATGAGGTTAACACTTCATGGCACTAATACCAATGCAATAAATCAACTCTGCTTCACAGAGGTAAAGTGAACTACACAACTGATATATTTTCAACTACACAAGTGCTGTATTATCTTACCCAATATTCTCATTCTAGAGATGTCTGTAATCTCTAAAGTACAGCATTAATATAGATTTTAATATTATTCATTCAACAATATTTATTGAGCACCTATAATGTGCCATGTACTGTTCTAAGCACATACAGTAGATTAGTAAACAAAATAAGTGATAGATATAACAAAAATAAATCTGTTAAAAGACGGATGTGCCACAGAGAACAAAATATGTAGTGCCTGGAAGGGGAATGGGGTGAGGTTTCAGCTAAGATGGCAGGGTGGAAAAGGAGGCAGCCAAGTGGGCAGGTAGACGCAGAGTGCCCAGGCTGAGGAGACCATTGCAGCAAATGCCCCCCTGTAGGGGTGTACATGGTATGTACATGGTGCACACATGCACGCACACACACATACACATATTTGTGCATGCATCCTGATTCCTCATTTGTGTGCAGAATGAAAACATGTGCTGGAAGCTCCCTAAACCCATTTCTCATGTGGGGACTCTGGGGAAAACATAAACTTCTCAGCCTGCTTTACTGGGTGTGGACAGTTTTTACAACATCTAAGAGGATTTGAAACTATCTCCACCCAGTGTTGTTGGCGTCACAGATAGTTGCATAGATTTTGGATCCATCATGTTATTGTACAACCTGGCACAAGAGCCGATAAGTGTGATACTGTTTTATTAGCATGCAACCTGGTTTTCATCACTTTTTTTTTTTTTTTTGAGGTGGAGTTTCGCTCTTATTACCCAGGCTGGAGTGCAATGGTGCGATCTCGGCTCACTGCAACCTCTGCCTCCTGGGTTCAGGCAATTCTCATGCCTCAGCCCCCTGAGCAGCTTGGATCACAGGCACGTGCCATCATTCCCAGCTAATTTTTTGTATTTTTAGTAGAGATGGGGTTTCACCATGTTGACCAGGATGGTCTCCATCTCTTGACCTCATGATCCACCCGCCTCGGCCTCCCAAAGTGCTGAGATTACAGGCTTGAGCCACCGCACCCAGCCTTCATCATTTTGAGATGGTTTTGTGTCCAAGATTTATGTTTAAGGAATAAAGCTTCCTTTGAGAATTGAGCTTGCCATTTTGATTTTTAGAAGCACAAATTGTATTTTGTGTGATAGCATTCGGTAGGTGAGGCTCAAGCAGGTCTCCTGCTCAGGCTGGGACAGTTGACCTGAAATGTCTGGCTTGATAACTTGGATGAGGGAAAAAGGGAATCTGACAATTATTAACAGCTGTGAGCATCATATTATACTTTCTGTTCAAGTTTGTGAAGTTTTTTTGTTTTTTGAAACAGAGTCTTGATCTGTTGCCTAGGCTGGAGTGCAGTGGCACAATCTTGGCTCGTGGCAACCTCTGCCTCCTGGGTTCAAGTGATTCTCGTGCCTCAGTCTCCTAAGTAGCTGGGATTACAGGCGCACACCACCACAGGCAGCTAATATTTTTTGTATTTTTAGTAGAGATGGGGTTTCACAATATTGGCCAGGGGGGTCTTGAACTCCTGACCTCAAGTGATCTGCCCACCTTGGTCTCCCAAAGTGCTGGGATTACAGGTTTGAGCCACTATATGTAGCCAAGTTTGTGAAGTATTGAGATCTACTTTTCTGAGTCAGTAGATAATCTTGTGCTTATCTTATATTTTAATCTATATCACCCTACCCAGAGTTAATGATTAGATTATATACCAGGAGAGATATTGCTTAACATCCCTCCACCAACTGTGAATAGATAGATAGTTCATGTAGGTATTCTTGCTTCTCTTATTAAGCTATAAGGAAGGATTCCATTTATGAATCTTTTAAATACCACCAAGTGGATATGTCTCCGAATGATTTGCTTAATGTACCATTTAGCTGAAATATTTACAGCTGAGATGATTTAACATCTGGGCCTTGGTTCCTGTAGTCCAGAAGATGAAAGAGTGGGGCATACAGGAGACACACTGATCATGAATTGGTATTTGTTGAAACTGGATGGTATATACACTATTTTTGTGTCTGTTAGAAATTTCCCTTGATAAAAGGTTAAAAGGGGGAAAAAAAGAACCTTGGAGAAACATGTCCCATTTAAACTAAGCTCAGATGTAAGTATGTTCTGTATCAAAATATGGCTAAAGAGGAACTGAATTAAACCTTAGAAAATTATAGGGCCATAGTACCATTGTCCTGGCTGATTGACCTTGACAAAGTCAGCCTCAGCTGGCCCATCTGTAAAATGGGAATACTTTTTTTTAACATATCCTCCCTCACAGAACTTAGAAAGTACCTGAAAATACCTTCTAAATTATAAATATGACTCATTTCAGCTAGCATGTATTGAGTGCTCACTAAGTATGCTCAGTACTGAGGATACAATGGTAAAGGAGACCAGGTCATTGCCCTTGGGAAGCTACAGAAAAGTAAATAAGCCATAATAATAGAGTATAGGAAATGCCATAGTCAGGCTGAGAACACAGTGTTGTACTGTAGAAGCCCTCAGGCATGGCAGGAAGTGGTGAGTTGTTACAGAGGCTGGAAGGTGTGTTTTCGTTCGTGTGTGTGTGTACCAGCTTCCTACAGGGAAGTGATATTTAGGCTGAAAACCATGGGTCCAATAGGCATAGAGTTACTAAGGTGGGGAGAGTAACATCTATAAATGCCTTGAATAGGGAAAGAGATAGCACAGATGATGTATAGAGGCTCCAGCAGGAGGTGAGGAAAAAAGCAGGGCCCAGATCATGAAGAATCTTGTGAGACTTGTTAAGGAGTTGGACTTGATCTTGAGAGCAATGGGAAACTATCAGAGTGTTTTAAGCA